TTTCTCCTTCCTTTTTTAGTTGTTTACATTGCGTAAAGTAAGAAAAATTCTTTCGCTATATTTATACACATTAGAATACAAACGAAATTGTTCATGAAAACGCGGGGTACAGTAACATGAAATGAGTTTGAAGAAGGAAAAAAAATCATCAGTATGCACATGATAGCAAGAAACACCACGTGTGTGGTGAAACAACTATAATAAACATTTATGTGAGATGCGAGAAGAGAATTGAATTGAATGAAAATAACTGTTTTGTTTTAAATTATATTTGACTGCTAATGAGAGTATGGAATGGATTTTGAGCACTTTTCATCGATTCCTGCCATGTCTTTTAAACAATTTTTCGATATTGTCTGCTATGAAAATTATTTTTAATGTACAGACGGTATCTGGAAGTGCGTTTAAAGTTGAAAACTTTTTTGTATTTCCCTTTTTTTAACAACTTCGAAATGGGTAAATAAAAATGTAGTCCAGGGATGTGAAAATAGTTGTCTAGGCTTTATGTGGTTCTAAGCTCTACATAGAAGCATAACTTCTATCGACCATCCACATCACATGATTTTGGCTCATCGCATTAAATTGAAACATATGAACTTAGACTGCCTGAGTCAAAACTCACCTTATTCAAGTCTTATCCCTGATATCCATCCTGAAATGTACGTAATAGTTGGAGTGAGGATTGACAACTTGAAACATAAATATTTAAAGTATAATGCACAAAAGTTGCTAAGCTCAGGTTAAATGGAAATTCCTCATGCCGTCTATTGTTAAAAGGCTTCTTTCCGCAGTGTTGTTATTTTCATTTCTGAAGAATCAACAACAACAACAACGGCACTTATTGTACAATGTATTGTTACGTGGATTGGGGTGGAAGCGATTATGATTCATTTATACTTTTACAAACATTTCTGAATAGTTTAAAGCAATTATTCCTCCCTATTTTCCATCGCTTTCATTGCCAAAAAAATATTCGCACACTGCTTTTAGTATTGTTCATGCATAAATGCAAACTTTATTGTCCTTCTGAATTTACAAATTGATTCATATTAGTTTTTATTATTATGTGCATATATAAAATAAAACGGGTTGAAAAATTGTGTGAGAGGAAAACAAAAAGATTTTTTATTTGGAATGACTCAGAAGCGTTCAAAACTTGACCTAACCCAATTATATTATTTCCTCTCTCTCTTTTTTTCTGCATTCTGTAACTGCGTAGAAAAAGATTTTTCCCTCCCTCTGTTGCTTTTCATTTTTTTTGGAAGGAATAGCAAGGAAATAGAAAAATATCTCGTGATGAAATTCCGTTTCATAACGTCGTAAAGTTATCGCACATACATGACAATAAAAATATTATTATTTTGTACTGTACGGAATGTGACAATAGTTGGATGTTATATGTCACCTTCTATGAATTCATTTTTATGATAAATCTATCGATCAATTTTCATTCATTCTTTCCATTTTTCTGTCCATGATGTGTCACTCAATTATTGGGTCTAGTAATTTTTAAAAAGTTAATCAACTGAGAAGATAAAAATCCTCGAAAAAGGATTCATGCCTAAAATGGCACAGAAAATGGAATTCAAAAAGCATGCGAAAAATTCTTCGTCTTTAAAAAAAAGTGTAAAAGAAGGAACGGAAAATCGATAGTTGCTTGTGAGAACTTTATTTGAAGAATATCCTACATATTTCCGATGTCAGCATATAAAATTTTAAATATTTTTTTCAAAGCAATTTCTATATTTCGTAGCTGAAGTTATGAAACTTTTAGCTGTGCAAATGAACGTAGAATGAATTTGAATTCCTGAACATTAAAAGTGAAAAAAAAGAATTTTTTCACTCAGCTTAGACACAAAAATTTAAAACCTTTCAAATGTGTTTAGCCAAGACACACGATACTAACACAACTGTAGCTCTAAAAGCTATTTGTATAGCTCGATACTCTACCGAAAAAATGCAAACATTTCTGTGTGGAAATTTTATGAAACGCAAAATAATGATTATAAGAGTTAATCTCATGTGATCTCAATAGATTTACAATATCAATTTGTTCACTTAACACACATTTTTTATTTTTATCTGAAGATTGTTTATTTTCTGCCCTCTTTTGGGAACTTTGTTTGATCTGATAAATGCAAACAGCTTAAATAAATGTCATGTATGCAAATATGAATTTTGGAACCGCTTTGTTGAATATTTCTTGGACCTTGTGTATTTTTAGACTGATATTTTCACATCACCATTGTGCTTAAGTCACGAATCAATTAGAACAGCTCTATTTTTAACTTTATGCTAATTTTCTTAATAAATTTGACAATATTTGGTGAATATATTCATTAAGTCATTTGACATTACACAATCTTTATGACTTGACATTTATGATATTTTAGATATCTTTTGGGATAATTACTGTTGTAAATTTATACAGCCTTTTTATATTAGACACAAAATGATAAAGTTTAAGCAACGTAAGTAACTTTTTTAAGCCAACCGAGATCGATTATTGCATGAAATTATCACATTTTCCCCATTTTCTCATCAGCCAGAAGGGTTCACACTAAAAATAATAAAGTTTTCGTAACTTTAATACCGACAGGAAACGATGTGACAGAAGCAGACATAAGTCATAAAATGGAAATTAATTTACCTCCTTCAGACACAAGCTTACGGCAGCAAGAAAATTTAATTATTTCTTCTGCCTTCCTCATTCAAACTATTCCTACAACTCTAGAATTTCACGTCTACGAAGAAAATTGAATTTTCATTTGAAAAATTCTGTAATCATTTTAGAAATTTCCATCTTTTCATGATTTTCATACGCATTAGAATGAATGAAGCTTTATGAGCTATTGGAATAACTTATCGTATACATAAATTTAATGTTCTTCTATGTCGGCTTCGAAAGGAAAAATGACATTAAAGCTTATAAAATATGTGAATATGAAAGTGAAAAATTATTTCCTTTAAAATTTTATGCGAGAAGAAAATAAGTTTGAGCAAAATGTAATCAAATTTTCATGAAAAATTAGACTGGATTCTTTCCTTGTTCCGCATGATATAAGCTCTGTTGCCTAGAAAACTCTTTAAAAATTGTAATGATTCAGATTTAAAATTCAATTGATGAAACAGAATTGTAATTATGGCTCTTTAGGTCTTCATCTTAGGTTCATCTTCATCCTTGAGGTAAACTCTAATAAATTGTGTCTACAGGAATCATCCATCGATATTGACGACTTTCCTTTAGTCCACAAATTCCGCTTTATTTTATCAAGCAGAAAAAACTCTAAAATTTGATTATTTATATTAAAACAAACCATCCATGAAAAGATAATCGAATTTTCCTTTTTCCAAAGCCTTTAAGCGCTTCATCGTTTTTCTATAATTCGATTTACATTTCCAGTTTATGAAATATTAAATACGCAAAACTGAACGAAAACTGAAATGGCAAAAAATAATGTAATTTTAAGCTTTTTTGCACAAAATAAAACTAGTGCTGGAGTTCTTAAATTCTTAAAGCAAATGTCTTTGTGGCAAAGCAAATTTGCATAAGAAGAATTCCCAAATGAGCATTATGAACTTGAATATTTAGAATGTGTAGTTTTGTTGGTGCAATATTGATTATCAATTTACCCAAACCATCAGTTCCATCTCGTGTAAGTGAATAAAAATGAGGAAATTCTCATTTCATACACATTTGTACCCAATAATATCCTAATTATAATCAAAAAGCTGCTTGTCTCGTGTCTGTAAAAGAAAATTGAATTTTAATTTCATTTCCATGTGCCATTTTGATTAGGTTTGAATGACTTTAAATGTATAGAACTTTTTATTGTTGCGAAAATTGAATTTCTCGTCTTTTAAATGGATCAGATCCAAAAAAAAAAAATTTGTATTGGATATGCACACTTGAACTAACCTTGTCAATTATTTGTTTTATTTGAATGTCCATCGTTGCATTGGTGTCGACCATGAATATGCAATTTCATCTATTCATTAATTATGATGTCATGTGCACATGCAAAAGTGTCGTATGTTTCCATTATTATAATAAAATTGCATGCCTCCTCTAAATGCACATATGATCGTATCTACATATATATGTTGGATTCAGGGGTATAGGCAGGCTGTGTTTTGAAGTATACACAGTCTAAATATGCTTTAAATCAGCTTTATTGACTAGGATTGCCGATTAGTTCATAAGCTGACTCCTTTCCTGACCAAAACTAATATTATGCATGGTGACTACCCCAACCGTAAATGTGTTCATTATAAAAAAGCTCATTATTTGCATAAACCTTTTACCCATTTCTATTAATTATGCTTTTTATTTTTTCTTATTTTTAAAACCTTATTTGCATAAATTTATTTTTGCTATTCATTAACTCATGGTTAAGTGCTTGGAACGGTGAAACCAAAATCTAATCAAATACGCGGCAGTGGTGCACGAAAAGAGTCTCCTTATGATTTTCTTGGTAGAAATGTTATCATACACCAAATGCCAGACGGTAAAATCGGTAAGATATGGTGTTATAAAAAGAAATATATCCTTGTGTGTCGATGATATTTTTATTCTGTTGCTATATTGACATGCTGATTGTTTACGTGTTTTATCATCATCAATGTATACTTATATATTTTTTATATGTCATCCTTTCTACATATATTTAATGAATAGATAGTGAACATCAATGGTTATAAAAATGAAGGTAGAAGTAGCAACGACATAAATTGCACATTTGATAAAAAGCTTTCGATCAATTTCAATGTAATATAAAGTTCTTTCGGTTCATTACTCTAATGAAAAGCACACTCTATGAAATTGTTTATCGATTTGGAGGAAGGAGTTGAACGTGAAATGCTTAAGTTCTCGATTGTTTAGAAGTATGAAGGAATTTCAATAATAAATCATTATTGAAGGGATTCAAAGGAACGGGTTTCATGTGTTGTAAGCTTATAAAGCTCAATTCGCATTAATGAAAATTCCCAAAATGATTGATTGCATAATGTGATTATTTATAACGTTTATTTTCCGAAGTTCTGATTAAATTTTGATCATGATAATAGGATTATAATAAATTGATTAAATCTTAATATAATTTGATTCGTGCTGTTATATAATGTTGAAATTAGAATGGTTTGTAAACGCAAGATTCTGTATATGAATCATAAATTCTTCCACGGGGACAAAGCACTTGATATGCAACTCCACCGCGACATTCGTAGTATCTCGTATTGTCAGATACAAAAGGTGCTCGAAGCAAATCTCTTGTGCATTGAACTTCACAGTAAGGTGATGCAGTGTTTGTTAGACTGTATGAGTTGATTGCAAGTCCGGGTGGGCAGCTATAAACGTATTTTGGTCTTCCATTTAAGCAGTAAACAGCCATTGTGCTAGAACTTCCAGAATAATTTAATGGTACCCATTCAGCAGCAATAAATGATGAGCATTTTGGAACGACACAAGTTCCTTTTGGTGCACAATTGTAGCCTCCTTTACCGTCAGCACTGAATGGATATCCAGAATTGCAAGCATATTGTTGTGGAACCAATCTCTTTTGGTTTGCATCATAGTCACAATAGTAGTATGTCAAACAGTCATATAAGTCAGGGAAGTATCCAATTCCAGGGCATTTATAATTCAAGCTTGTTTCGCATGTTCTTTCAGGAAAAGCTACGTGATTTAATTCAAATGTTAATATTTATCGAGTATTACTTAAAAAATTATTAAATTTTACCTGTGCACTTGCCAAATCCAGTATTTCCTGTACAATAAGGTGTTGGTTCTGCACAAGCGACCTAAGAACAAAATTGAATTATTTATGTATATTTTCTCAAAACTGTCTACTTACTGGTTCAGTATATCCATATAAATCGGTACAAGTCTAGAAATTTTGAAGATTAAGTAAAGATAATTAAATTTCATAGTTAAATTTTACTTTTTCTTTGACTTACAAAAACTTTGCCCCCTGGACTGCATGAGTTCGATTCAGTACAGAAGCTGGTGCCTGGTGGTGAGGTTTTGCATGTATCACCTGGGTTTCCTGCGTAGAAATATTTTCCTTGACGACCTCCTGTTGAATTGGTAGGTGGATCAACTCTGGTTCCTTTTTGATATCCATTATGATCCTCATCTGCAGTTGATACTGACAAAAATGCCAATAATACCTTTAAAAGTTAAATATTAAACACTGAGTATGAGAATATTTTAGTCATGCTTACCACTCCAATGAATAATTTCATGATTATATCTTTGTTCTCCTTTTAATTTCACTACAAGATGTTACTATTGAATGAGCTATTATTTTTCGCAGAATCACTTAAATAGTTAGTTCTAGTTCCATAATCACATGTATATTGTAAAGTTTGCAAATATTTGATATAATTAAAGTATTACGTAAAGAATGATATCTTAACATAGTTGTCCTTGGGATAATAAAGAAGTACACGTGTATCAGATATTACATATTTAGACGGTCCAAAGCTTGTGAGACGAAATTTAATTAAAATGACAGAGCTTCAAAATCCCTGAACAACCTTGTCTCTCTTATCTATCTCTAGTTTTGATTAAATTATTGCATGCAGATAATTTCATTACAAAAATAGCAAAATATTTTGCTTATAAAAAGTTATGCCATGGGACGAAGAGAAGATTCTGATTAAATAAATTGTTAAACAAGATAAAATAAGTTTTTTTTTTCTTGGAAAAGTGTACTTAAAGTTAACAGCGTGTTATATTTTCCATCATACGCTCGGATAATTTATTAAGTTTCTAATTTTGTAAGAGACATTTTAGTGCTTATGAAGACATGAAAAGCCATATACCTTAAGTTTTATTTCTTTTACATTAGTCTGGCATCATTAATTGATAAGCATCACGAAAGCGAAGTTCTGAAAAAATTTCTATTGTGCCTTGAAGCTTTTAAAGCTTCATAAAAATGTGAATTGTTGTTAAGTAACATAAAATTTTATCAATAAATAATTAAACGTTTTTAAATTTTTTAACATTTGTTTTTTTCTGATAGAAGATGAATAAATTAGTCACATCTACGAAACGTTCATAGTTCATACTTAGTTTATATTAAAGCAATGGTACACAAACTATAAATTGATGGATTTAGATAAAAATGTCATCAAAAAAGAGATTCTTATCCAACTTTATGGTCTAGCTTTTAAAATTTGTCGAGACGATAATCGTTAAACTATCATCAGATTTGTGAACTCAATTTCGCGTGGAAAGTTTTGGAAAACACCAAATAATAGACATTTTGAAATTGTTCATTTGAATTCGCACCTTTTATCACCAAAACATGTTACTCAAATTATTGTGCGTCATGGAATCTTTTACTTAGATTTCACATGGCAAAAAGATTGTAAACTGCTACAAAACATCAAGAATTCTTTTCAACTTCCCTAAAGTCTACACCAAGAAACCACAAATCTATTAAATAACCAGGAAAAAAATAATGTGTAGGCAAGCAAAATGTCAATTAACTGTTCTTAAATATTTTACAGACACGATTCAACATGATTTGCCCATTTTAGACAACAATTTAAAATATTAAGGATTTATTTCGTTCAATTACGTAAATTTTAAATATGTTACGTAATAAAGTTTTTTTGTTAAAAAGATCTTGTTGACCTTGGCAGCTGCAAAAAACGAATGCAAAGATCAGAAGTTTCGGAAATTGCTTATTCTATTTAAGAACAAAAATTTAAAATCACAGTAAATTTATTTTTTTATGGCTAATACTTCCGGAATTCTAAGCGTCTAATTGTATCCAAAATTTAACCATGAAAATTTCGTTGGAACCATTAAGACATGACTTGTGATGATAAAATGTTATTGATTTTCCTCATCACAATTGCTGTCGTTATAGTTCCTTTAATTATGTATAAATGGGAATTCCAACAAGTGTAATTAATTGCCACAATAAAAAATGAGATTGTTATCAATCCATAGAAATAAAAATCGATCGGATGGAACCTTATCAAAGTATCTATAAATAATAGATAAGTTTTATTAGAAAAAGTTTATTGCGAATATTTCGCAAGAAATCAATTATTTCAGAAATGTTTTATTTTATTTTTTTGCTTTGAAGTTTCATGAACATGATCGCAGAGGTTTGAAATAAAAAAAATATAAACAAAAATCATTGGAATGCATGGGGGCTTGTAAATTGCGAATATATAAAGAGAAGAAACGGAGAAAAAAAAATCAAAGTAAAGTTATTATTTGTCTGTATCCAATTTTAAGTTATATGTGGAATTTTATGGCGACACTTTTACTCAGTGTTTCATCAGCCATTGAGATCGGTACAGAAATTTAATTTAAGATGGTGAACCATGAGAAATTTTGTTAAACATATAAATTAATTAAAGTCCTTCAACTTTTTTTTTGCGAGATTTCATGCGGTCTTAACAAAACAAAGAGAAATTGAAAATGCTCGAGTGTAGCTCAAAAACATTCAAACAGGCTTGATTCGATTGCGTGAAATAGGAGAAGAATGTCTGTAGCAAGAATACGAAGTACTCAAAATGATTGAGATTCTTTTTTGGTATTTTTTTTTGCAGTCATGAGAAACGAAAGAAACATGAGAGAACTGAGAAAATGATGAGCAAATTTATTTATTTGTTGCTCCTTCGATTCTTCTTTTCTTTGAATACAAATGCATTTCATTTTCTTCTAGCCTGTGTGTTGTCGCATTTGATAGTGAACTTCGTAGCTTGTTTCTTGCATGCCGACTCGTGTGCCATTTTTTATTGATGGAAAAATTCTCACATACATGATTATGTACGTTATAAAAAACGAAATGAAATATTAATGATGAAAAACACAGAATGTGACGCTTAAGTTTCGTAGACAGAGAGAATGAAGGCATCGGGCAAGACTTCTTCGCTCTTTTTTTACCGAACACAAAATAATTTTTTTTTTCGCTCATTCGCTCGCTCAAATTATCTCACAACAAATACATGAAAAGCACGCAACGAAGACGAAAGAAGTATTAAAAACAATTTTCAGTATATGATTTGACTTTGTATGAAATTGTCGCGACATAAAAACGCTAGCAGTGCTGAATAAAAAAATTATATTTAATATATATTTTGTTAAATAGAGCTTTTGAGATTACATTCGATGCCAAGAATATTTCTTAATGCTTACTAAATGAAGTTCTGATAATAACGGACGTGATGAAATCAATTATAAAATTCTTTTTAAAAAAGAAAAGGCGATAAAGAAATAAAAAAAAAACATTTGAATGAAAATAATTTCTTACATTTATGTGAATGTACGTGTGAGAGTGGCTTAAAATAGACACAGAAGAAAAGAAAAAGATTTTTTAAAAAATTTCCACTGACTTTTTGGATTGGATATACGTGAATATTGCGAAAAAAAATTAAAATTCTTAACAATTGTGAATATAAAGTGTAAATAAGCTAACGTTAAGAACACATTATATTTGCAATAAAGGAAGTGAAATCTGTTGGTTCGATCATCAGATCATATTGTTTCAGTGTTGATCATTGAATCAAAACTGCTAATTAACCACTGATAAATTAAAAAAGTAAAAGTATTTCATTGATGTATTAAAAAGAGACGCTACTAGCTTCATAACAGAATTATAAAATAAATCAAAAACAAGTAAAAAGTCATTAGTGAAAGTGCCAAGTCGAGAAAATCGTCATTAACTTATATGCTTATAAGTCTGCAAAAAAATAAATATATATATTTACAAATTGAAATATTTTTTTCTAAAAAAGTTTACATACAAGTGCGGATCCCGCTCATTTAAAGATTAAAAAGAAAAAAGAAAAATTCTAAAAATAACAAAAAAATTTCATTTGAAAACGAAAGTCTCTGTCTGACCGTCTTAACAGCACATATAGTGGGTGAATGTAAATAAAAGAGTTATGCGAGAACTCAATGAAATCCAAACTTATATTGATGATGAAGATTTTCATGATGTGACTGAAATGGCTTTAGAAGTTCAAAATTCATCATCAACTGATTACCTAAACGTCACAAAAGATAAGGAAAATTGTGTCACAAATGAGTCAGATTCCGGAATAATTTTTGATCCATCAGAAGAGGAGAAAGATTGTAGTGAATTCAGTATTAACACAAAAATAACAAGTAATAAAAATTTGTTGATGGCAAGAGAGGTTGAGAATGGCCTTACAGATAGTGGAATCGATAGCATAACAAAATTCTCATCAACTCGCGATGATTTTGATTCAAAACAAAACCTCACAAGATGTTCATTGAAATCGTCATCAGTTTTGACTGTAGCAGTGCCGTTACGTGATCCCGTGCTTCGAACAACCTCAAAAATGCGCAGTAAACGTTATAGCTTACCTGATATTGACAAATTGAAATCATACAATGATTCAAAAAGTTCACAATGTACCAAAAAGCCACCGATCAATCGTAAAACCACAGTATGTGATATGAAATTAGATAGTAAGGAGACTCAATTGCCAATTCCTTTGGTACCCACAGAGGCTAAAGCTTTAAATGACTTGCAAAAGCAAGAAAAAATCGACAATTTTACTATAGATCCAAAGTTGATAAATAAGTTTGACGGACTCTCACAATCCCTGTATTATATTGATGAGAATGGTAGTCCAAAGATACGCGAGAGGTATATTAAGCAGCAGAGAATGATGATTGAAAAACAGGAACAAAGAAAGCGTGAAAAAGCGGCAAGAAAAAGCTTGGAATCTGACTCTGCGACGTGCTCATGCTTTAATTTTAGTCGATTATCGAAGAAACTCAAAGAATTATGTAAGTTTTATATTTTCAACTCAACTCGATTCTCCTTTGCGCCGTTTGCCTTCTCCCATGAATTTCATTTCATTTTACTGCTTTTACTGCAGATGCTTGATTCTGGAAATTTCCATGAACGACCGTGAGAGACATTTAGTCTCACTTTTTAAAATATATAAAATAAAAGAAAGAATAAAAATGCCGTGATTTTTATAAAAAAGAAATCCGGTTTTTTCAATATTTAATCAGCTTAAGCCATGGACTAGCTTTTGAAGTCACAAATTATATGTATATCTTTAAGAATGAAAAAGAGAATGGTTCTAGCTCGTGTGTGATGTGAATTAAATAATAATGTCGCAGAAATGTGTGAATTTTAAGCTTCACGTTTCGAATGTGTTTTTATATTACGAAAATTTGACGCTCTGAATGATCAAAAAAAAAATGCTGGCGGGAGATAACACACGAGATTATCATTTGATGTTGTTTTTCTTTATTCCATGCATAAAGAATCTCTTGATAGATTTATTTGATGAATATATTCGCAATAAGATTTTTGTGCGAATTCATCAAAAGGATATGAAAGCCCTCGAACGGAAATTAATCTTTCATGGGAGGATATGGAATATATTATCGTCATATATTGAAATTCCTTAAGTCTTGAAGTCAAACTTTTTCAAAAAAGATATAAAAAATTTATTAATTTCAAGAAAATGCGTAGTTGAAACTTGATTGGAAAATAAACTTGCTAAGCTAATGAAATAAATATTATGGCGATTAATTTTTGACGTACATTTATTGCGCAAACTGTCTCGCTAATACGTAAAAAATATTAATTACACGTAGAATGTTAATGCTCATATAATTAGGAGTAGATTATGATTGGTAATAATTTATGAGCATAAATATTTCATCACCAGAAAACCTCCTCAAAAACATAAAAAAAACTTTCTTTCCGTTTGTCATTGCTTCTAATACGTCAACATTGCATGCAATAAAGCAATTTTTGTCGCTTTTTAGAGCTTTTCTATGAGAATTTGTACTACATATCCAATAACATTTCATTATATGATATGAATATGATTACTAAGCATGCTATATCATGTGATATGCAGTATAGTTTTAATATTGAAAAGATGCATCAAACAAAGCTGATTATTGCAATTCCTCGTGCTTTTAATCTCGTGCAAAACAAAAAATAAGTTCAAAAGCATAAGCATCACTTCGCAGTGTTTATATTATTAGGATTTATTAAAGAGGCGTTCCTTAAGTGAGTTATTTTTAGCTTACTACAAAGAAAAGTAACAACAGATTGTAAAAAAATGAGCTGTACCTACACAAACTACATAAAAACGATCTGTTTTTGCATTTTTTTCGCCTCTTCTTGGCTCTGTTTGTCTCATTCATGTTCATGTATGGGAAAAAGAAAATAAATTACAGTCGACGTATTAAAAGAATTCGTAAATCAAGTAATCGTTCTCATCAAAAGGATTATACTTTGTAAGAACAAGAATGATAAGTGGAATTTACGAAGAAGATGTCAAGATAATTTTTTATTATTACGTAGCATTGTATTTCGTTTACCTCTGAAATTTGTTGACGTTCCTTCACCCCTTTTAAAATTTACGACCTTCAGCTTTGTTGCTCAAAACTAGTTCACAATATTTGCCTTTATAAAATGTTTAAAGATCAAAAAACTTTTGAATTTACTTTTCTGCCGCTCATTTATTTAATACTACTTGCTATCCTAAAAGCTAAAAGTCAATTTTGAATGGGTCATCAACTCTCTTTCTTTATCCACGTGTCGGATAATTACTTAATTGATGACTTCGTGTCATAGCCGACTATTTTTTTTTGTATTTCTAAGGATTCTTCTTGTTATTTAATGTTTATAACTGTTAGCCGCAAAGCACAAGCCTTTAATGGATAGGCAAGTCGTAGTTGCTTACGATAAATAGGATAAAGCGTTTGTGGATAAATTTTAAAGTTTGCTAAAAGTTCGATGTAAATTACTGAAAAATTCACTGATTTAATCTACAAACACTAATTTTCAAACCAGGAATTTCAATTATTTAAGGTTTTGACCAAGTTTTGACTATTAGCACAAAAACCAAAAACCCAAATATTGGTATGATTCTAAATAGCACTGAAAATCCCAAATACCTAAATATTAAGTATTTGAATAATTCTACGCCTTTATAAATACTATTTTGATACTTTTTTGGGGATTTACATTCTTCCTCGTAATTATTATACAGAATTCAGCATCAATAGATTTTTAATGAGTCACGTCATAATTCACGGAAATTCAACAGCCTTCAAAATTTTGAAATAGCTTCATGCCCTGAGCTAAGAACTTGTTTAATAATTTTGATGAACACAAGATATAAAGTCCTTTATAAAACCATAAAGATATCATGATTTAAATATTTTATCATAAGTGTTTCCATTCGTTGTTTATAGCTGAATGATCTTCCGCATTATAATATCTTTGTTCCAATATTAGTTCGAGCATTTAATAGTCAATCATAACAAAGAGTTTCTAATTTCAAATGAAAACTGTTCTACTGACTCATATCTATAATAGTTTCTAAGAGCAGCGCGAGTTGCTAACGATTATCACAGAATTCTGTTCCAATTAATTTCTCTTATCTCGGTTATGAGATGTTGGCTTTATTGCAAATCTCAATTAATTAAGATATTCTTTTAAATCAATTAAAGTGCGAAAGAGTTGGAAAGTCTTGACATTTGGGAATTATTAAATTTAATCTTAATTTCTGAATCATTATTTCTCCTACATTTAAGATCGCATTTACCATATAAAAACTCAATATTAATTTATTTCAAAATTAAACTGTGAAATTTCTTCAGCTTCCTTTATATTCATTTATTGTGTATCTCCAAAATATTACTCGTGTAAATCGAAAGCAGAACAAGACTCGCTGCAATCCTACATATATGAAGAGGTAGAGAGATAAGGTGATGATTCAGCGCATGACATCATGGATGATTCCGAAAGAAATTTTATGTCAAAAACAGATGGTAAATGTTTACTTTAATTTTTGTGCTTCAACTTCATTTGCTGACGAAATTGGGATATTGTATTTTGCGAGAAATTCATTCGCACATGATCAGATTGGATATATATTTTTTCTTCAAACATGGTCTTACTTGGAAATGACTCACTGTTTCGTGGAGAATAACATTTGCATTGGAAGTGTCAGTGCTATTTTTAGCTTAACATAAGTTTCATAAATCTTTAAGAGGATTGCACTTTGTGGGATTTTTAGGGCTCGGGCAGTTTTTTTGCGCAGTTGGAAATTGTTTATTTGTGGTTTTAAAGACGGGGTCATTGGTTTAAGACGTTCAATATTTACACATAAAGAGAGAGAGAGGTTTGAGTAGCATTCCGAATATATGACAGTCTTTTAAAGAATGTCATGATGACAATCCAAATAAATATTTTATTCATACTGCTTCGAAACCTGACACCAAAATCGAAGGTCTTTCTCGCCAAAACAAATTCTAGCAATCCATACAATCAGTTCCTATATATTTATTGCTTCCGATATAAAAGATTCAAGATGTAACCTAAAATAGTAACTTATAGTCTCCTTGTCATCATCCTACGTGAGCTGTTAGCTTTTACAAGAGAAATAAAAAATATTGTCAAGTAAAGTTGTTGGCACATAATGATGAGATAAATTTAAAGTTGACTAGCTTATTTCTAAATAAATAGCATTAATCTTCTCAATGAGGGAGTTCCACCACTTAAAGTATCAGAAAATGCAATATTATCTTATCAAACAATTTAAATTTAAAAATAGCCGGAGATAAGGAGCAAGTAGGGACTTCAAATAAAATAATAAATATAGTTTGCATAGTAATGAAATGCACAATCTGCTTTGTCATGTCATCCGGACTGAAATGCAATCAGTTTGATAAGTCTGAGATTCTCGAACTATAAACTTGCGTCGTTTACATCATTTGTGATAATTGCTATAAAGATAGCTGACAATCAAGGTCTATAGGAAATAAAAAAAAGTAAGGAATTAATGGCTCGCGACAATATCATATCCAATAAACGTGCTTGATGACGATACGATGTTATCTTGCGGCCCAATTTATAAAAGCCATAAGTAATCATCGTGTTTCATGACGATTTGTAATTATCTTATAATTAACAATAGGAACCTCAAGTGTTTACTACGCGTGTGGCTTCCAAAGAAAATATTTTAACAGTTCTGTATCAACTTATCGTTGAGAAATTGCCTTTTTATGATATATTTGCCTGATCATTTTCTCAGAGAATGATCATCGTTTATTATTTATTATGAAAATGGCAACAAAGACTGTGAGCAGCTTTCAATGTCAATTCCAATTGAGTTCATCAGACGAATATTTAATTGATCTAATTGTACTTTTGATAACAAATGCCCTTGGTTCTATTTTATCTCCAGACCATGTTCAGTGCCAAATTTGTAAGCAATATTTATTATTAGCCAGTCTTTGGGCGGATATGGATGACGTTGAAGTTTGCAGAAGCACTTCACACTACCTTCATTGATATAAGACAATATATGTTGGTACTTAATGGTCCAATAGCTTTAATCACTCTATAAAAAATTCCACAACGTCGTCAATTTCTTCATTGTATTCTAATAATAATGGCGATAGATCGTGACCGAAGTAAATTGTGCTAATGAAATGGATGCGACTTTTTTTACTGGTTTATTTGCGTATTTGTGTGAATTTCCATTCTTTTGCCAACATTGAAACTTGAAAGATTGTTTGTGTAATTATAGCTGAATTTCATTATCGCCACTAGCCGGGTCAATCCGGCATGAAAGATCGAGAATTATCATAATTGACTGTAAAACGAGTTACACATATTGCTGATAACCTCTGTCAATTTAGATTTTATTTTCTTTTATTTTTTTATTATAATTTTTTCGCAATCAATTTGTGATTAAAATCGGTCATGAAAAAAAAAATTGTTTTTTTAAGTGCTGTATAGCAAC